ATGAAAAATTGAAACAACGTACTGATGCAATAGACAGAACTTAAGCACTGAAGACGGACAAAAATGTTATGCTAAAATTATTTAATTAGATATGATCTTGATTATTTTACATATTTGATGCAAAATCCTAAATGTCAGTGAAAAGTGGGATTGTTTAGTTTGAAGGAGAACGAAAAAAAATGATCTGCCTATTGTTGCGCGCATCAACTTCCATCAGCTCACAAAACAGAAAGATAAAGATTCGACAATTAATCCGGGTCATTTATAGTTTCAGTCCCAGTTTGTCAAAACTCATGACTTTAATTGGTTTCCAGTATTTGCTGCTTACGCGAAGGAGATCGCTCGTGCAGCAACTTACGATTTTGATTCTTTACATTCTCTAAAAAGAGTGGATGGTTAATTGTAGAAAAAAAAGCTTTTATAAAGTTGGAATAAAAATTGTTTGTGATCTTATGGATGAGGTCAGTAAATAAAATATCTATGTTAACACAAAACTCAATTCAGCAGGATTTTTTACAATAATAACGGAGAGTCTAATCAGCATTCATGAGTTTCAAAGTCTGATGAGTCAATAGTTTATCTAACTTGGTCATATTGAATTTATTCCACAAGACTAGAGCATCGCGCACAGATATATACTCGTCATCCATAATTTCTCCATTTTTCTTCATTTTATTAATTTTCTTGTTGGCAACGTCAAAAACTTTTTTGGCTTCTTCTTTTGCAACTTTTGCCTTGCTCTTGCTAATATCACATAACTGCTCTCTGTATTGTTTAGTAACTCGCATTAGTTGAACTTTTATGGTCGGCGTCGGCTCAGTATCTTCAATTTTAGGCCACGATTGCGAATAATTTTCTTTCAAAGATTTCACAATAGCTTCAACGTCTTTGGGATCAACAGGTTCGATAGAAACTTCTGAAACTGTGGATTTTAACTGTGCAATCATTTTAAGCTCAACTTTTTCAGAATAGCCCGAAGAATTATCCACAACTTCGACTGAAATATTCTCAAACGTTGACAAAGGCGGTCGTAGGATAACCTCTCTGTCGAAAGTGTCTCGTAAGTTAGTTTCAATTGAATTTATTTGAGATGTCAAATGTTCTGAGTCCACAATATTGTCGAAATCGTCCAGCGATGGCTCGACAGCTGATGTCTGTTTTGTTTTTAATTTTTTAGAACCTGAAGTTTTCTTAAAACAGATAGCAGATGTCCATATGCTTCTGCATGTGCAATTGGCGCTGATATTTTTCAATTGAAAAAAGATTGGCGCCAGAATTTGCGCACGTAATGTGGTTTTCTTCAATGAAAAATGCTTGACGAGTAGGCTTCGAGAAAAACAGCTCCTTGAGATATTCATTTCCGATCTATAAAAGCCGCTGTTGACTGTAAAATTCCATATAAAATGAGCAATTGGTACCAATTAGCTGATTATTCGATAAAGTTTCAACTGCCAATTTGACTAAGAGTCAAAGAAGAACGAAGCTCAAAACTTCCATTGTCAAGATGAAAATCTAGGTGCCCATAGAAGTTGTACCATGGATAAGAAATGTTGCACGTTTATCACTGGCTTGAGTTATATGGTACTAACGGGCTCAGAGCAGTTTAAACTGTCTTTAAACATTACCACCTTTCCCAAAACTCCAGAACAGACATGTATACACAGAATTATATTGTTTGAGTCTAAAAAGCATTTTCAGGAAAACCAATAGGCCAGTATTATTTCAAGTTTTGCTAAGTTCTGACAGATTGTAAAATATGTGAATATGAGTTTAGCCGCATCTTGCATCAAAACGTCGTGAAAAACAAAAGGCAGCTCTTTTAAAAGAAACAGAAAAAAATGATACAGACTTTTCTTATGAAACAGTCCTAACTCACAGCCTCATACTTTGTTCTAGTGACTTTTGTTTTCATTTATTTTGAAAACTCTTTATTTGAATGAAACAAAACAATGAGATCTCAGACAAATTCACGATACTTGCGCTAAAAAAAATTGATAAATTGCATCCAATTTATATCAAAAACTAGTTTTTAGTCTTAACTAGCAACAGTAAAAAAAATTTTTACTGAACTTTTGCATTATTTATTGGCCTATAAAAGCTAAAAAAAATTGGAAGCATGATAGGATCTATCAGAAAAGCTGCAATTAAATCATAGGTCTTGATTTAGTAAAAAAAAAAAGTAAAAGACTTAAATTTAAAAAATACACGGTAAATATTTTGATGAATCGCAAGAGAATGATTTGTAGAATATAATAACTGTTTTTCCACTCTGCAAATGATGAGGATATTTTTACAAGTTGGTTAACTAAAACATGTATCCGGTTTCCATGCTGTTACAAAATATGTATCATGATACATACATGCACCGTAAATCATGATCCGAGAAGTAAAAAATTCCAAGAGATTTCGAGTTTAGGTAAAAGTGTCTGTTTATCAAGGTCTGGCTTAGACAGAGAAGCTGAAGATACATGTTTGGCATTTTTATGAACATATAGCAATGATCCAAATCCAAAGCGTGGTGAGTGATAATGGGTGTGCCGTGCAAAAATAAATTATTATGGATAGTCTGGTAACAAGACCTCATAATTCTCCAGATACAAAAAAGCAACTTGTAAAAAGGTTTATCGTGAAGATGAAAAGTCTCCGCTAAATTTGAGTCGGTTTACCGAAAAATTCAGACCAGTTTTTCACGCCACCAGCAGAGCTTCTTTAATTTTCAAACCATATCAGACACAACGAAAACTTTTGTAGCAAGAATAAAGATGCAAAATAAAAAAGCAGATTGATGAAAACAAATATCGATACAGAGCCGAAGTTTCACTTCGCATACACAAGCAAGAATATGACCGATAACGCTACTGGGAAAAAATGAATGAGTAAAACTTTGGTCTACAAAATTCTTAAGTGACGTACGCCAGTTATGAGTCTATGTAACTGCTAAGTGACGCAAGCCAATTATGACGCATTAGCAGTCAATTTGAAAAAAAAAGAAATACACCAACTAACATGCCTCAATTTATAGAGCGGACGCAATTAACTAGTATACGAAAAAGTTCATTAAAATATCCGACTCTACTCAGGTTCGAACCCTCTTATTTTGTTGCTGGTCTCCTTCCCTACCTCTAAGCTACAGATTCATGATACCTTGAAGCTAAAGTGCTATTTTTAATATAATAGTTTGTGTTAATATCTTTAGCATTGGCTGCACTTAATAGCTGGCTCAAAATGAACTTTTTCAAAATCAACATTTTGTCGCAGCAATTGCCTCGCAACAATTCTTGCTACTTAAGTTGAAAAAAAAAGAGAGTTCATACTGTAACACAAGCTATGCTTGTGTAATTGCACACAAATATTTAACAACTATAGATACCAGTTAACAAAATAATAGAATACAAACAGAGTAGCATCTGAATTATAACAAGTGTTGCAACAGAATAATTGTTCGAGAAAAACCATTGAAGGCTCTCGCGAATATTAGGCCCTATTTGATCTGCTTGTTATTGAGTTGTTTACACTTAGTATCCAAAACTCACTCGCGTTCTGCTGCACAACATTCTCGAGTAACCCGTCTGAGCATGTTTTCAGCACTGCTGGAAACGTTGTTACAAACAAAAGAGCACCACTAACTAGAGATCATGTGAACGTGCAAAATATTCGACATGAAAACTTTCAACATAGGCGAAGCAGAGCTTAGCACACTAGCGATACAACACAAACATAATAAAACACGAACCGAGAAAAATGTTGAAAAAACCTGTACCAAAATTTTTATTTTCATATGTCTCGATAGAAGTTCATTCTAGGCAAACATGGATGCCAGACATTTGAATGCTAAATTGGCAACAGAACAAAACTGACAAAGAAGAAAGAAAGCCGACAATCTTTGAGCAGACACAAGCTGAGCCGGAAAAAAACTTATGAATCCCTTTATGTTTCACCACTAATCATAACTAAGGATAGCACGAATACCTGATAGGATTGAAAATATCACAGAATACTCCGACGAGGCTTTCTTGCTTTTTTGAAACGATGCGGGCACTTGGCATACGCTTCACTGCTATTAATCGGAAAACTCAGCAAGGGATCAAGTTAAATCAAAAGTTTGGCTGAAGAACTGCACTTGAATTAAAACTGAGATCAGGCATGGCCACCTTAAACGGTCTATGAGCAGTCAAAAACAAGGATAGCCGGTTACTGCGAAAGTAGCATTATCTTTACACTAATTTGAAAAAAGCAAATTTTTCTGGGTGGTGTGATAAAGGGATCTGACTATAAACTATAATTTAGGAATATTCGACATTCATAGTAAAATAGGCCAACGGGATAAATTTGTTCTATATTATTTCAATATTTTTTTTCAATTAAATTTTTTTTGCAGATAATTTATGAACTTTTCTGAAGTTTTTGGTTCCTACAATGAAGCTAAAACCTCCAAAAACTAATATGATTGCTTAAAACTAAATTTTAGACCTTAAATTAGGCATTATTAAGCTGAAGTGAGCCTGCTCGCTCGCTTAATTTGCTCGAAATAAGACGAAAAACCAAAACTTTCAAACCGGTTTTTTTTCGACACCGGGAATTTTTTGGAAACTTTTCAATGTAGTTCGAATCAAGACTGAAAGGGCTTTCCTATGATATATCACTCAACCCAGTCCGATAATTATTGGTGGTATCTGATTTTGCGTGGAAAACAAAAAAAAATAAAACGCCCGAATACAAAGTTCCTTCCTATTTTTTAAATGGTCGGAACAAAAACTCACACCATCTTTTGAGAAATATAACTTACTTAGATTTATAAACCAGGACTGAAAGAGAATGATACCACTTTCAATCCCCTTCGAGCTTTCTCTGGATTGCATTAAATTGCGTCAGAAATTCTAGACCGTAATTCTGTTGGTTACCGTGTTGTTACTGTTAGTACTTTTTTGGTTTTAAGTTTATGGTTTGCGTTATAAAAAGAAAAGATAATTTACTAAAATAACAATTATTATTTCTCTTACCTGAAAGCACAGCGCTAATTGAGTCCTCGAAAATCATCCATTCCTGGTAGTAATCATAGTTGAAAATGTAACCGGCCGGTAACTTGACTCTTAGTTTATGTCTCTTGCTTTCTGTCGATTCAGCGCACTTAATTGTTTTCACAAAAAGATTTTCTTCCGAAGTTTTCAATTCGAAACGAATTTTTTCAACAGTTTTTTGCGGAGTTTGAATACATACAAAAGGAAAATTGAAAACTCCTTTTCTGTTTATTTTTCCAAAAGACGAAGATCTATCAAAAAATGCCACTACTTGTCTCTCTTGTGGGAGTTCAGGTGATTCAGATTCAATAAAACCAATAAAAATAACAGTACTGGTTATCAGAAACCATAAACTCCATAAACTCATATTTCTAACGTTAATTTTTAAGATAGCTGAGAAAAAATATCCTCTGTAGAAATGAAACAACAACACTTAAAAACTGAGAATAATATCAGTTAGCTCTTAGATGCTCAAGATCATGATGTGCGCTTTTTTATATAGATGACGTTATAATATATATGGGATATATCCGAGTAAGTTGAAAAATCAATAGAGCACAGATTGCATGGCGACACGTTCAACCACACTAGATACATCTTTTCATGTCATTCTCAACCTCACGATATATAGATGTACAAGACTTTGAGTGTAAGCTTATAAAGCTTCAGTGATGACCGAGCGTACCGGAGTCTTCTTAATTTAATCAGAAGCGGGCATCTTTTTCTGGCCATATTCAGCCTCAGCTTCAGTAGATGCGATAATGAATCCATCTTTTCGCAAACCTTTGCGAAGAAAATCTGACCGACAACTGTTGAAAAAAAAAGAACCTAATAAGACATAGGCAACAGAGTTTGAAAAAGTCAACGAACGCAAGGAAACAGGAGAACAAAACTGAATGTTTTTTGAAAAAAACTTCAACTTTTGAATTTCAAAGAAAAAATGGTCTTAGAACTACATGAATTTCATGAAATATTTATTATGCTGGTTACTTTTTATTTGAGAAAACTGGATCAAAATGTAGAATTTTTATTCCGCTGAGAAATCTGAAAAATAAAATCTACTTTCGAAACTAGAAATCGGTCAGGTTTTTTGTGACCTTTACTTTTTGCTGTTCGATGGAGGAGTTTGCCTTTCTTTTAACAAAAAAATGAGCTTAATAAAAAAAAATTAAACCGCAAAAAAACCAAATTTTAGCGCGAGGACTTTTTCCTGAAAAAAAAACCAACAAAAATTGAACTCTCGATCAATTTCAAACCTTCTGAAAAAACAAGGTCCGCCCGGAATTCGTACTAGAAACCTTAGGTTCCAAAAGCACACCCATTACAAAGTTGTTAGCGAGGGGAAAACCTAGCGCTGAGTACATGTCTTTTGCTCTTGCAAGCGAAAGCAGTGGACTCGTAGGTAACGTACGTTTTTTTTTTACTGGTAAAGTTTAAAATAAAATACATTTCGACAAGTAAAATTCTACAAAGAGGTAAAGTTGCGCTTCGCAAACACTTGCGAGAAAACGAACAAAAAGCAGCTCTATCAAGTGAAATAAGAAAAATTAGAAAAAAGCCTCGAATTAGCAAAAACTCGGCTACGTGTAGGATTCAAATATGCGACCTTGCAACTTTGAGTCTCGAGCACTAACCACTCAGCCACGGATGCTCAAAAACTAGCCACTAATAACCAAGCTAAATATGCTAATTAATTGCCATTACGATACCGCAAAAGGTGCACCAGATACAAAACGACACAATTTTGTATGTAAAAAATTCGAAAGCAAAAAACCAAATTATGTTTAAATTATGCAATTCAACAAAAACTAGCGTGTACCGCTCCTCCGGTGCTTCGAATTATTGACAACTCATGAAAACCACATAAATTGGAAACCAGATCTGCAGGTTTTTAGTGTGCTCTGACAGCACCCAATTACAGGTTTGGTAATTTCAAATTTTATCAACTTTTTTTAATTCCAATTTTCCGTCAAATCCCGAAAACGTCAAATCTCGAAAACTATACAAAATTTCGAATAGTCATAATTGGAGGCAAGATTGGCAACCACTGAGAGTACCCTGACAACACCCAAAATCAGGGTAGAGAATTTAAAATTTTGAAGAGAAAAATTAATTCAAATTTTTGGAAAAAATCACAAAAAACGTCGTATCTCGAAAACTACAAGGATTAGAGCAGTCATAATTGGAGGCAAGGTTCGTAAACCCTGAGAGTACTCTGATAGCCCCCAACAACAGGGTTAGAAATTTCAAATTTCGAAGAAAAAATTTCGTTAAAGTTTCCTGAAAATTTTTTGAAAAAATAACAAAAAACGTCATATCTCGAAAACTGCAAGGATTTGAGCAGTCACAATTGAATTCAAGGTTAGCAACCCCTGAGAGTACTCTCTGATAGCCCCCAACTACAGGGTTGGGAATTTCAAAATTTGAAAAACAAAATTTCGTTGAAATTTCCTGAATTTTTTTTTTGAAAAAATCACAAAAAACGTCATATCTCGATAACTACAAGGATTTGAGCAGTCACAACTGGAGGCAAGGTTAGCAACCCCTGAGAGTACTCTGATAGCCCCCAACTACAGGGTTGGGAATTTCAAATTTTGAAGAAAAAAATGTTGTTAAAGTTTCCTGAAATTTTTTTTTGAAAAACTCACTAAAAACGTCATATCTCGATAACTACGAGGATTTCAGCCGTCACATTTGGAGACAAGATTTGCAATCCTTGAGAGTACTCTGACAGCACCCAACTACAGGGTCAGGATTTTCAGTTGCCATGGCCGCCTAATAATTTAGAATCCCCAGATAATTGTAATTGGTTTCCGATTAACAATGTAGACCCTGAAATTATACCACTATTAAGCTTAAAGAGTAGATAAAAAGCTTAAAACAAACTATATAATAATTTTACAAAGCTAAATAAGATAAAATCTTCATTTCTACAAAGCTAGATCTAGCAAAATTTTGTCTCGGATGGTCTGCAAAGTTAAATTAGCATAGGAATGAATGTTAAAAAAAGGGTGACAAAGCCGACATTAGTTGATTGGACACCCGTTGAGTCGACTTTTTTCGCTTATCGAATGACATAATATGAGGCAACTTAAGCAATAAAACATACGCCGAAACCTTTAAAGCCAAATAAATAGAAAAAGAAAAACTAAAATATTGAAGTTATACCACATTGGAGATAATAAATTTAGAACCAACTCAAGAACATAGCCAATAGGAGGTTAGCAAAAAGTAACACAGAACTAAAAAAAATTGCTTTAAATTGTTTTATTATTTCTCAGATTTCGATTTTCTAAGAAAAATATATCGCGTTTAAATTCTTGGAATTTCATGAATTGTTATGAGGAGTGATTTTCTCTTAAAGTTAATCTATTTAGAGAAAACGGAATCAATAGGTAAATTTTCTAGCGTCTTTTAACAGTCTTTCACAGTTTTGGTGACCTTCCTTGTGCTGTGCGATAGGAGTTTGCCTTACTTATATCAACGGAAATGAAAAAATCAACTGAACCGAGAAATCAAAACTGAAGTGTACTTCTTACAACTATAATTTGCTTGAGTGGGTGGGCAGAGAGTAGAATGGCAAAAAGCCTTCGCTGAGAACTTTCGAAACTAAAAACAGCCATGACAAAAAGACAAGCTCAACGTTTCCCACTGCTTCCACTTTTGTTATTTGAAATCTTAGTTTGCTTTGAAAACACTCAAATCGTAATTTGGAAATCGTTTTCTGCCTTAAAAAGAACGCTAAGGTCAAACCGCGGAAAATATATTTGAGCGTGATAAACTTTTTCCCTAAAAAACAACAAACGTCTTCAGTTCGTTACTTGTAACATAAAAGCTTGAATCAAGAAAGAGAATTTTTAATGCTGAAATAGCCGATCGAAGATTGGAAAAGAGTATGAGCGCAAGGAAACAGAAAAAAAACTGACTTGTTTTGATTTCAAAAACCTTCAACTTTTAAGTTTCGAAGAAAGAAAAATAGATGGCCTGAAAGCTCTTTGAATTTGTAGAACAATTTATTGTGGACACTTATTTGTTATAAACACAGTTTCAGAAAACTGGATCAATAGGCAAAACTTTTCTTTCGATGGGAAATCTGATAATTAATTCCATTTTCGAAATTACAAATCGATCACCTTTTTCGTGACTTTTACACTTTTGCTGTTCGATACTCGAGTTTGCCTTCCTTTTAACAATAGAAATGCACTGAACTTGAAAAGAAATCACAAGTCAAACCGCGAAAAATCAAAATTGAGCGTGAACAAATTTTAAGACTTTTTCCTAAAAAAAAATCAGCAAAACCTATAAAAGAGTACTCACTACGTTCATTACTCTTAATACCAAACATTAAACTTTATTTATTCTACGATATGTACAAATTAACTTATGACAAACTTTTCACAGCATAATTACAAACGATGACTCGGACTATTTATATTTTCCCATAGTTGGATTATACCCATATTGCTCTACACTCCACTTTCCACGCCCTTTCTGCGGTGGCGCTGACTCCGTGAACGACGTCTTTGGGTGTCTGTTTTGGTTCATAGTGTTGTTGCTTTGTGTTCTTGGATCGGAGGACCCAGAAAAACATCCTTCGTGGTAAAACAGTCTGATTTTCCTGCCGTCTCTAGCCACTATTTTCTCACCTTTCGCTATGTCCTTTTTGCACTCGCGACACTTCCACCCGAATCGGACGGCGCTGCCACGCGATACTGTCCAGTAGTCATTACTCGTGGATACAGATCCTGCATTACTCATAATCACTCTTTTTCTTTATTTGCATTTCGTGATCTGCGAATTAAATATTTTCTGTGCCTAACGTAGAATGAGAAGGTAATTTCAAACACAGAGTCGAAGCTGAGCTTCGCAACACTTGTGATACGAAATAAAATGCCAAATATCAAAAGATAACGTGTCTCAAACGAAAAATGAATTCTGTTGAAAAAACTTAAGAAACACTTTATTGCAGTTCTTAAACAGAGGCGAAGCAGAGCTTCGTACCTCTTAGCATAGAAAAATGAATAACTCTCACTATTTGCAGATGAATAGACAAATCGAACTGAAAAAAAAAACGTTCAAATACTTTTTCTCAAAAGTTGTAAAATTTGCAAAAATATCCCAAATATTGGAATTGAAAAACTACAACTTTTACAAAGAGAAGTGAAGCAAAACATCGTGTTTTATGCGATAAAAACTATACACAGACAAACCAACCGACAAAAAAAAGAGATGAACGCCACAGAAAAAAATCGAAGAAATTGATCTAACTTTTCTTTCTATTTTTTAACAAAGTTTTGGCGTGCAAAAAACCAGGAAACTGTGAAATATATTTGCTCTCTTGAAGCTAAGGGAAAACGGGCTTGATAAATCTACCAAAAAGTAGAATCAAAACACCCGCCTCGTAAGCTGACAAAAATTGTGCCGAAATAATTAAGCCGACAAAAAAAATTAGAAAGACTAAAAAGACTCCATTGAAACTACTCGAAATTAGGTCATAAGACGATAAAATATAAGCCAACAACCTTTGTGCAGAAAAAAAAATCAGCGAAAATAATATGAGAAGTCAAGGTTAGTTAAATTACAAATAACAGAAGTAAATCAAAACACTATATGCAAATTTAAATTGCTTACAGCAAAAAAAGCCCTTCCATGTGGCAACTAAGCCAAAAAAAAAAACAAAAGCAGACAAATTATAAGCCGACTCTTTTTTGAAACGAAATATTTCAATTGCTGGAGACGCAAAAAAATAATTCATTATGAACTGAACCTAAATTTAACAGTTCTAAAATTGACCATTCTGTGAAAAAAGTTATTTTCGGGAAAAATTCTAGTACCCACCTGCAAAACCATTGCTGATCGCAAAGTTAAAACATAGCCAATCGAAGATTGGAAAAGAGTAAGGAACGCAAGTAAGCAAAAAAACACTGAATTGCAAGAAAAAATCTCAACTTCCAAATTTCAAAGAAAAAAATAGGTGCCATTTCAGCTCCTTGAACGATTTATGATTGGCGCTTTAATAACATTAACCCAACTTGAGAAAACTGGATCAACAGGTAAAATTTTTATTCCGCTGGAAATCTAAACATTAAATTCCACTTTCGAAACTAGAAACCGTTCACGTTTTTCGCGCCATTTCCACGTTTGTATTAGGAGAGTGCTATTTACGTCACTTTCAGCAGATGAATTTCAATTGAACTCAAAAAGTGCATGTATACCTAAGTGCATTCATAAATGCATCAATCTGTAGTTATTAGAGACTTTTCCTGAAAAAAAAAACAAAAAAAACAGCAACATCTATATTAGAGTCTTCACTACGATCAATACTCTTAATATTCATAATTAACGATGCTGTCTGATGAAGGACTAATGTACTTTGAATGTCATATGATCGGTTAGACAAGGTTAATCTGCGTTAATAATCATCTACTCTCGCTTAGTTTCCCCGACAAAAATCTGAATTAACTTAAGCGCAATGAAGGAGATTGAATTTTAAACGACCATTATGTTGAATAGTCAACTTCGAAAAACTAGTCAATTTCGAAAAACAATATTTCCGACCAACTTTCAATGATCGAGAGCAATTTTCTCTTCCAGCTTTCATTTACGCTAAATAAGGAACCGTACACTAAATTTTTCTGAAATCATACCTTCACTTCCATTCCATCACCTTCAATTTTAGCATAGGTTCCCTTCCCCTCCTAGAGAAATAGAACCTAGCTGAAAATCAATTTTTGAAGAAAAACTCAACAAAGTATTTTCGGAGAGCAATAATTTTACCCCCATTTAACGATAACACTGACCGAAGCAATTTTTACGGCATATTACTTCCAATTGCAACTGTAACTATCAACTTTGAAGTTAACAGTTATTCACGTTTATTCGCTTCATTTGCCCTTTTGTTATAAGAGAACATGATTTGGGCAATGAGGTGGTAAAATGCACGAGATGGCGTACCCCAAATCCACCCCTGAGTACACTCAATTTTGATTTACCACATGCCTGATTCGATCAAAAAAATTGACAAAATGAATTCCTTTATTGCTACAAGGAACAACAAATTGATTTTAGTTAAAAGAAAATGAACTTGCACATTTACAATGACTAAGTCAAAAATCTTAACGGTACAAAACTCAACAGTTCATTGGCTGAAATAGGTTTCCGGTCGCTGCATCTTAAATCAGATTCTGAAATGCTCTTCGTGACTTCTCTCAGTATCGGCCTAAACAAAAAACAAGTAAATTTATCAAGATCGACCGAGCCAAATTTCAAAAGTTTCAGGAAACGCTGGGAAATTTCAACATAAAGTTTCAAATCTTTTTGATTTTCTGGGCACTCCCAGAACACTAGAGAGAAACCATTTGACCAAAAATTGTGCGCCGCAGGCAAAAAAGCCAAATTTGAAAAAAGTCAAAAAAGCCGTTCCCCAAGGCGCCTTTAGGAAAATTTAAGAATGGTCAAATCCCTGATGGGGGGGGGGCGTCCGTCCCTTCTAAATCCGCTCCTGGTACCGCTCCAATAGATAGCCCAATTCACTTCAAAACATAGCCAACAAACAGTTGGAAAAGGGTAACAGAATAAATAGAAAAGAGTAACGCAAGGAAACAGTAAAAATAAACTTCAGCTTTGAATAAATAACTTCAGCTTTGTTTTCAATAATTAATCGTGCCTAGTGAACATCTACATGTCCGTTACAGCACCAAAAACAAAGTTGCCAAGGTACTTACGTCTGGGCGGTGATCTCGAGATGGATCTTCGACGCTCAATGCTTCGGCTCCTAGATCGTCGTCGGAACCTGAAAAGATTCGGATGCAATCAAGGCGCAAATATTTTTGCGTTCAGATTGAAAACATCATTTTAAAAACTCTCAGCAACTGAAATTGTATTTAGACAAATTTTAAAAGTAGGGTGTTGTTTTTCACATTTAATTTTGTGTCCTTGTTTGCTCGGTGAAGAATTCCTTACCATTACGACGAGCGGTTTTTCGTTACTCTTTTTCACCCACGTTACTCTTTTTCACCCAACAATTCTCATGTTTTCTTTTCTTTCCCTACTCTTTTCTCCTCTTTCTTTATCTCTCCCTCTTTCCTTTTAAGTACAGTACTCTAACAAACACAATTCCCATCTTTCCGAAGATGTTCTTAGCCGAACGTTATATTATCCGATGCCATTTTCCTCTCGGCGCTATGCCTCACTGTGTGAGCGCCTATTCAATTAACTCTTTCGATTAATTCTTTCATCTGATGTCCGATTCTTAAATCCGAACCCAATAATCCTAAATTCAAAATCACTTTTACTTTTCGGTCACTAGTCTAAGTCACAAAACATGCCAATTAATTTACATGCACGGACCATGCTCTATTTTCGATTTTCAAATTTACATCAGAAAAAAATTAATGAATAGAAAACGACAGTAATGAAAAAATTGGAGCCCATTAACTTTTTTCAGTAACTCCACAAAATTCTATTCTGTAAGCCAAGCGTAGTCAAGAAATTCCACTAATAGGGCGTCTAAAAGCAGCTTTTATTTTGCGGGTGCTACAGCACAGATCCGAGCTATGATCTAATCATGCAACCTTAAGTAATAAATGGAAACGCTTGCACAAGGCTGATATTTGGATAATAAACCGAAACAAGACTGCTCGTATCAGTGCGAAGCCCTGAATGTTCCGACTGCCTTTTCAGGTCTGTGGAGCAGTAATAACAAAAAAAAATTAAATGTAATAAAAAAACTAGCTTCGAATTTTCGACAACTCAAAAAACTATTCTTTGAGTGTACTCTGACAGCACCCAATTACAAGGTTCGTAATAAAAAATTTTGCAAAGTTTTTTATACAAATTTTGAAGAACCATAAAATTTTGTGAACTTTTATATAAGTTCTTCAAAAAATTTAAAATGAACTAAGAAACGTCACATATTCGAAACTGAAAGCAATTGAGCAGTCCTATTTGGACGCAATATTTGCAACTCCTGATAGTACTCTTACAGTACCCACTTACAACGTTGGGAAATTCAAATTGTGAGAAACTTCACCTGAAGTTTTTTGAAAAAGGTATTCATATCTCGAAAACTACCAAAATTTGAGCAGTCTTTTTTGATATTTTCAATATTCGCAATCTTTGAAAGTACACGACTACAGGGTTGGGAATTTCACTTTAACGAATTATTTTGTAATTTGAGTTTTCTGAAAATTCCAAAAAAAGTCAAATCTCCTAAACAAAAATGATTTGGGCATTCTTAATTGGAAGCCAAATTTGCAACCCCTGAGATTACTCTGACTGTCCCCAACTACAGGCTAGGCATTTCATACTTTGAAAAAAAAATTAATTTAATTTTCAATAATTCAATAAAAAATTAATTTAATTTTCATACTTTGAAAAAAAAATTAATTTAATTTTCAATAATTTGAAAAAAAAAAATCACAAAAAATGCCATATATGGAAAACTGCAAAGTTTTGAGCAGTCATATTTGGAGGCAAAAATCGCAACTCCTGAGAGTACCCTGACAGAGTCTGACTACATAGATGGTAATTTCACGTTTTGTGAAATTTTTTATACCTAAGTTTTCTGAAAAAATTTGGAAAAAAACCTAAAAAAGAGTCATATCTCGAAACCTACAAGAATTTGAGCAGCCTTATTCAGAGGCAGATTTACAACCCCCTGAGAGTACCCTCACAGTTTCCAATAACAGGATTGAGATCTTCAAATTTTTGGAAAATTTTAAAATCTAAGTTTTTTGAAAATTTTGGAGAAAATCATAAAAAACGTCATATCTCAAAAGCTACAAGGATTTGAGCAGTCATATTTGGAGGCAAAACTCGCAATTTCTGAGAGTACTCCAACAGAGTCTCGCCACAGAGATGGTAAGATCAAGTTTTGTGAAATTTCTTTAAATCTAAAGACCTGAAATTTTTAAAAAAAAAATACAAGAAAACGTTATATCTAGAAAACTACAAGGATTTGAGCAGCCATAATCAGAGGCAAGATTCGCAACCCTTGAGAGTACCCTAACACTATCCAACAACAGGATTGAGATCTTCAACGTTTTGGAAAATTTTAAAATCTAAGTTTTTGAAATTTTTTTGAAAAATCATAAAAAACGTCATATCTCGAAAACTACAAAGATTTGAGAAGTGAGAACTAGAGGCAAGATTCGCAACCCCTGAGAGTACTCTGATAGCCCCCAACTACAGGGTTGGGAATTTCAAAATTTGAAGAAAAAAATATTAAAATTTCCTGAAAATTTTTTGAAAAAATCACAAAAAACGTCATATCTCGAAAACTACCAGGATTTGAGCAGTCACAACTGGAGGCAAGGTTCGCAATTCCTGAGAGTACTCTGATAGCCCCCAACTACAGGGTTGAAAATTTCAAAATTTGTAGAAAAAAATGTTAAAGTTTCCTAAATTTTTTTTTTGAAATCACAAAAACGTCAGATCTCGAAAACTACAAGGATTTGAGCAGTCACAACTGGAGGCAAGGTTCGCAACCCCTGAGAGTACTCTGATAGCCCCCAACTACAGGGTTGAGAATTTCAAAATTTGAAGAAAAAAATGTCGTTAAAGTTTCCTGAAAACTTTTTTTTGAAAAAATCACAAAACATGTCATATCTCGAAAACTACAAGGATTTGAGCAGTCACATTTGGAGACAAGATTTGCAATCCTTGAGAGTACCCTGACAGCACCCAACTACAGAGTGCGAATTTCAAAAATTGAAATTTTTCTAAATTAAATTTTCTAGAAATTTTTGAAAAATCTCGAAAATTGACTATCTCGTAAACTAAAAGGATTTGGTTATTCATATATGAAAGCCAGAATCGCAAAACCTGGGAAAACTCTGACAATATCCTACTATTGGGTTGCTAATTTAAAACTTGATGAAATAAACACAAACGAAAAAAAAAATCTTAACAATTGCAATATACGATATAGCTTGAATGTGAAAAAAGTCTTTTGTTAAACATGCAAAAATATTATGTTGAAAAAGCTTAAATATGGCGAGATAGTGAAGCCCGCATTTAAATATATATAAGATAGAGAAGCGATAATAGATGAAAGTTGAAAAATTAGGCGACGGGTAACCAGACATAATCAAATTAATTTAAAAAAGCAGGTAGACAGACAGACTTAATTTGGCCTCGAAAAAAATACTGAAAAATTAATGACCTCGCGGAAAACTGATTGAAAGATTTTCTCAAGCATTGCAATATATGATATAGCTTAAACATGAAAAAAATCTTTCGTTAAACACGCAAAAATATTATGCTTAAACATGGGAGATAGCTGTCACTCGCATTTAAATATAGTATAGATAGATATAGATGGATAGATATAGATAGATAGATAGATGAAATTCTTTTTTAAAATTGAGATTTTTTGTGAAAAACATCCCCCCACACGCTATACACGCTATACAAAGTGATAGATTTCGCTCCCATTAACAAATCAATGATGGCATATAATCTTCCTTGAACCAATTTGGAACGATTTCTAAGACGGATTAAATCTCCGCTTAAGCTTTATTTGTCCCAAATTGGCCAAAATGGCAATATTTAATCTTGCAAAAGAAGTGTAAAATTTAATTTTTGAATAGCATTTCATCTGGCAGAATAATGTATTTACAATAACTATCTAAGTAGTAGTAGTATAATTGATTGAAAATGGAATGACTATATTATGCATTATAGCTCTCAAATTTAATGCATGCACTACACTCAAAATTAACACCTATTGTTACATATCACACAAATTTGTCATAAGTAAAAAACATCTTCTCGTAGACTTCTATGTATCGTATGCTTACACTATGTATTGCAGTTTTTTCGCATGTTTCTAATTTTGAATAATTACGCCATCGGATAATCAAAACTACAACGCGAGTCCGGGGAAACGCTTGAACATCCGATGTCGATTATTCAAAGTAAGAAACATGCGAAAAAACTGCTATTTTTGGTGGAAGCATACGATACATAGAACTCTACGGGAAGATGTTTTCTTGAATTATAGACAATTTTGTTTCCGTTTGGTATCAAGATATCAGCCATGTGCATGCGTTTTTATTTATTACATTAGGTCCGATTCTGCAGAAGTCAGAGCAAAATCTGAACTTTTTTGTAACTCACTCTTATATGAGAACAAATTCAATCCCGACTTATAAGAATAGCAAGTTGACAGCCAAAAACAATTTCTTCCTTCATCTCACTTTACTATATAGGCATACTAAGCTCCAATTTTATCCACAGTTAGGGCATTTTTTACTAGTACACCACCAAAACCAATATTATGGCTTGAAAAACTCCGATGGAAGTGTTTCTTATACTTCATTAGCAACTGGCTTCTCTTGTGTATAACGATTCAAGAATTGATTAAAACATGCTGCTTGTCAAGTTTGATCAATTCAAGCTGCTTGTCATGGAACAAAATGAAGCCTGAAAAAATCCCGATGCAAACAATTTTAACACAGAGGCGAAATTGAGCTTCGCAAACACTAGCGAGAACACGACAAAAAAAAACGGCTGTTGAGGTCTAAAAAGTGCAATAAAAAGTAAAAATAAGCTTCGAATTAGTAAGTAAAAATTCGGCTACGTCTCCGACTCGAACCTACGACCTAGATTAAGTGAGTCTCACGCACTATCCACTTAGCCACAGACGCTCAGTCCATCGCAAACACTAGTCACGAAAAAAGCCGAGAACAAATTCTATAAAATTTCCAGTGCTACAGATCATGATTATAGCAAAAAAGCTCGCAAGTAAACACTTTTGATGAACACTTTTATTTGCGAGGTCGTGCTTTTGATGAACACTTTTAGTAAGGTTCGTACTAAAACACAAGCTGCTTGCTAGCGTAATCAATAAGTAGTTATTTAAAGCCATTAAACATTCAATCACATGTAGACCAAGACAACACACATGCATTCATTAGCCAACACTTAAAACAAAAGAAACACACAAGCACAAGATGGCAAGAATTAAAGCTTCTTTTCATCCTTACCGTGGAGGCGATCTGAAGGGCCTTTTTCGCATATCGTTAGCAGAAAAGTCAATTCTTACAGGGTGACCATCAATATCTTGTCCATTGCATTTTTCTCTCGCCTAATCAAGCAAAAAAAAAACAAATTTGAGTGTACAAGATAAATGAGAACCCTGGCTATTTTTTAATAGAATAAACAAAACCAGTTCTCGCCAGTACAAATTCCTCATTTTCTCCAATGAAAGATTGGGAATAAAAATCTACTTACATAGGCCGCATCGTCTTTTGATTCGTATGTTATAAATGCGAATCCCCTTGATCGTCCAGTGGCGAACTCTTTCACCAGTTTGACACTTTCAAATCCAGGATACCTGTCGAACAGCTTGATCAAAGTCTCCTCTCTAGTCGACAGACTGAGACCAAACACTCCGATACATCTATTAGGAGGCGCATTCGTCTAAATTGAATGGACAATAATACATACACACTGAAGACGTTTCTACTTTAGCAAACAGAGATGAGGAAACAGTGTTGAGAACAAATGATAACTTCACGGGCCGAGAAGTTGAAAAAATTGTTGTTCCAGTTCAATAGTTGAAAAAATTGCATACCTTGTTGTCGTATCTTCTAGGGGGCGATCTCGATCTTCTTGGTCCCGAACGGCTTCTTCGACCCCTGAAAATATATTAACGATTTTGAAGCGATTAACTAACAAAGCACCAATTTCGCAGACTTCTCTTTGGTTCATCATTCTCAAAACGCATACTTTCAATTTTTCCAAATGCTTACCTGGGACTAGGTGGTGTTCTGGTTCTGCGCCTAAATAAAAAATTAAACTCACAAAACAAATTCAAAATAATTAACCTAGGTCTATGGAAAGTTTTTTACCTGCTGCGCGAGCGAGATCGGGAGCCCTAAAAGTATGAAGCATCGGTATTAAATAGTTTAATTTATTTGATAATAATTGTATTGTTTTATAATTTAACTGCTCATATATCTTTCTTACGCGCTTGACAGGTGATGGACTTCTCTTGATGCTAAAACAAACATAGCCAACTGATAGTTGGAAAAGAGTAATGAACGCTGAAAAAAAAACGTTTTTTCAAAAACCTTCATCTTTTGAATTTCGAAGAAATTGTAGAACTTATTTTGAAATTAGATTTGTAGAACAATTTATGCTGGACAATTTTTCGTTCAACTAAACCCAAATTGAGAAAACTGGATTAATAGGTAAAACTTATATTTCGCTGGGAAATTTGATTATTAATTTCCATTTTCGAAATTAGAAGTCGATCACGTTTTTCATGATCTTTAGAATTTTGCTGTTCGATAGCGGAGTTTGCCTTCCTTTTAACAATTGAAATGCAATGAAGTTGTGAAGAAATCACAAGTCAAACCGAGAAAAATCAAAATTGAGCGTGAAATCAGCAAAAAAAAAATCAGCAAGACCTATATAAGAGTAATCACTACGTTCATTACTCTTAATAATAAGAAAAATCAAGTGTAATAGATATCAAAAACTGCGCCCTGTGGAATATTAAACAAAATTTCAAATTTCAACATAAAGAGATAAATTGAGCAACCCAACCCCCCATCTCGCTTTGGTGGGAGAGATAGCTCAATAGGTACTTGAGACATGTTTCTAACCACTTCAAAATAATTGGAATGATATAAAATCATAAAAATTACATTCAGAATGAAAAAAGAATCACTTAAACTGAGGCACATAAAGCGACTTTTTTCTGTCCTAAATGGAAAAAAAGCTATTGTGTACAACTTTAATGTACTGCGGAGAACAGTTGTTGATACTCAGATACCAGGCTAGAATGCCAACTCTGGTATGTCGCTTTCCTCGATGAGGCAATGGTCGCCCCACTAAAAATTAGCAAGAAAAAATTTTTTCGATAAATTTCGATTTTTTCTTTTTCAAAGTTTTTCTTGAAACTCATATAAAATAAACTTCAGTCGGTCAAGTGATTGCGTGCTACGAACACATTAAGCAACTACTTGCGTTTGCTGACTTCTTTTTGTAGCGTTTTACCGTTTTTGCTTGGGGGGAGATAGCTCAATTGGTCATTACGGGGGGAGATTGCTCAATTGATCCACAAAAATATAAAACGAAACCATGACAAGTACATGTACTTAAGAATTAACCTTCTGTTTGATTGCACAAATAGCGCTGTTTATATTTTTACAGTTATTTTTAGCGAAGTCATTAATAATAAAACTATTCAATTTAAAAATAAACTTGGTTTAACCGCATTTCGTGTTTTCGTCAGAGCTTTTCACGCAATCACGAAGCCGAGCGTTGCACTACTTCGATAAGAAAAAAATATGCTCGGAAAACTTTCAACGAACTTCAACGTCGAAAAACGGTTAAAAAAATATTCCACTCGTTAATTTTTTATGATTATGTGCAAAATAAATAAACAAATAGAAAATTTGAGTTTTTTTTCAAATTACAAAATTGTTGTGCAAGTCTATTTAAATATTTAAACCCACAGAGCTTTCAATCAAAGTCCTGTCAGTGCAACCTAACCCATCAGAACACGAGATGACGCGAAAAATCATATTGAAGAAAATTTGATTTAAAATCCGAAAATTTAAGCTGAAAATTTGCAGTTTGCAAAGCGTACACGTACTAGAGATATTCCAATCCGCGGCCTTTAGAGTCCAAAGCACAGGCGTTACGTCTACGCCAAATCAGTTATTAAATATTAATTTATTAAGATTTAAGTAACCAAATATTCATTGGATTACATACCAAGCTACAAAATAGCGGCTAAGTCAAAAATGATTCTTGGATTTTGTTACACAAAGTGTTCACCTTGTTGTTGCACAAGTTGCTCAACTTGTTGTATACAGATTGTGTTGGAAAAGTCTTTCCGATACGATTGAAAACTTGCAATAGGCTTTTTCAGTTAGATCTTATTAAATTCGGATGAAATCCGAGTAATTAAAAACTTGCATCAGCCTTACAATCTCTTCCCCACCCCCTCCCTCTACAGTCGATTTAGGGGCAAAGCAATATCTATTTACATGAAGCTCTGGTCGTATATTATTGATCTATGGCTCCTCGGCATGAGGTGGTTCACCAAATTATCTGCTAGACAAATTAGACTCTGCACAACCCAGCGGCAAAGCTTCGCATTATTCAATGCCTTTTAACTAACATAGCCAATCGAAGATTGGAAAAGAAAAATGAACACAAGTAAACAAAAAACAATGACTTTAATGAAAAATCGCAACCTACGAACTTCAAAGAAACAAATAGATGCCCTTTAAGCTCTTTGAGTATCTAGAACGATTTATGATTGGCGCTTGTTTGATAACATTCACCCAAATTGAGAAAACTGGATCAACAGGTAAAACTTTTATTCCGCTGGAAATCAAAAAATTAAATTCCACTTTCGAAACTAGAAATCGTTCACGTTTTTTCGCGCCATTTCCACGTTCGTTTTTGGAGAGTGATACAATCCAGTCTCGATTTAGCGAACCCCCGATTTAACGTACGCATCGATTTTTTGTAATTCCTTCTACAATACCAAATTTTCCCCTTAGTAAAACCTTGATTTAACGTAGTTTTGATAAAACGTAGAATCTCCATATTACGTAATTGATGCACTGGAACAAATGCAATGTTTGCCATGTTAATAAACCTCCATTTAGCGTAGCGTATTTCTTCAGTTGGGTTATGTGAAAAGCGTATACGGCGGCATGAGTGAGCAAAACAAAAATCACGCACCGCGGAGGAGAAACAAGCAATTATCATTGCATACAACGCCTTAAAGACACATCATGAAGCAACAGCGAGTATTTGCAAACGTTTTGATCAGGTTATAATTAGAGATGTGCCAGGCACGCATTTTTGAAAACACCGGATAAAAATAACTTACCGGATGCACCGGAAAAATGTAGAGTTGATGAAATAATTGATCGAACTCAATGTTAATGTATGTAAAAAATTTATATTGCGTCAAAAACTGGAAAAAACCAGTTTTTTTTCTTCGAGAAACCAGATTTATGTAAAAAACTGGTAATTTTATATGATAATCTTCTAAACTTTGATTGAATCATGTTATACACTAAATTTGAATAAAAAAGTTCTCGAATGTTTTTTTTTTGTCCAAAACCGCGGTCAGTATCCGGTTATTACCCGGTGCAGTTTTACAGGATATCCGTGCCGAAATCAAAAAGTTGCCTGATAACCGGATATTGATTCCGGATACCACTATTCGGTATAACTCTAGCTACAAAATCAACTTTGGATACAAAACTGAAAAAATAAACGACATTACCGCTCTATTCGACCCAGCGATATCAGAAAGAAAATATCTCAACTCAGCAGCTATCCGCAAATCGATGAGAAATTTTATGCATGGCTTCAATGAATTCGAAGCTACAACAAAAAAATTTGTGGTGATATAAAACTATGAAAGGCTAAAGAAATTGCAGAAGAACTGAATAACCACAAGTCTTCGGCAAGCAAAAGATTCTTAGCCAATTTCAAGAGCAGGTATGGAATTAAATTCAAAAAACTGCAGACAACTGAAGGATCAACAGTCAGCACGAAGAAGCAACAGTCATCACTGCTCAGATATTTTGATGTTGACACTCGTGTAACAATAATAGATGACAAATAAAATTCATTAAAACACTTTTTCTTCTTGACCTTGATTTAACGTAAGCCTTAAATAAGCGTACACTTTTCGACCGCCCAAAGAGGTACGTTAAATCGAGACTCGACTATATTTACGTCACTTTCAGCAGATGAATTTCAATTGAACTCAAAAGGTGCATTTATACCTAAGTGATTTATAAATGCATCAATATGTATGAATGCACATCTGCAGTTATTAGACTTTTATGCACTTTAATAGACTTTTTCCACAAAAAAAACAAAATCATCATGACCTATATAAGAGTCTTCACTGCGTGTATTACTATTAGTCACAAGAAGGATACAATTATTTTCACGAAAATGATCACGTCGAGTGGTCATCAATCTTATATCCGACATCATTCCAGAACGTTCGAACTAAAACAGAGAGCGATACCTTGCACCATTGCAACCAAGAAAAAAAAAACATTTTTCCCAATCGTTTTCCGCGGCCGAATTGTGAATAAAATATTCATTTTCAATGATGAATAGATGTAATTCTATTCGTAAGTTAAGCCTTTTGTTGTTGTTGTTGTCTTACTTGTCATTGGACAGTTAAAGGTTTTTATTTTTTTATCAATTTTTCCTTTTGCACGTCTCGATTGCCGAAGTCTAGTCTTGGACACGCTTTGATTGATTACTTAATGAGAAACAAAAATCTCTAAAAAGGCGAAGCAGAGCTTCGCATCACCGCTGAAACAGAACTTAATTCAAGAAAGAATATCTTTATCTAAAAGAGGGTATTAATTTTAAGCAGTATGTACAAGTCAATTCAAGAAAGATATTATAAAATATTGCCTATCGAGCACCAAGAAAAGTATTTCAAAATCAGGAAACTAAGCCGACGGCCCTTATGTAGACGATTATTTAGACGAAAACTAAATCGACGATCATACAGCGCTGACTTTAACTGACCGGACACAACGGAACCACGTTGACAACTTTGATCGTGTTTTTTTTCTTCAAATTGGGTAAAGATTGGACAAAAATTGAAGCGAACAAAACAAAAGTAGCTTAGATTTTCACCAGATTCAATATGGCGCAATTTTTTCCCGAAATTCTTAAGCAAAACTCAACCCAAAAAATGGATAATTTTGGCTATCTTAATTCATCAAAAATTAAGCAGAAGTTACCCAATTAATTGATGAGAAAGTTATACCAAAAGAAGCCTCTTACACAGTTTAACGAAATTTTAAAAAGTAAATTTTCCATAAATCTGTATAAGAAAATATATTTTTGGTTGATTGCCAAAACATTTTTTAAAAATACTATAGATAAAACAAAATCTTTAGCTAATAACAAATTTGAAATTTCTTTTATACAGATTTATGGAAATTTTACATTTCTAAAACTTCGTTAGGCTGTGTAAGAAGCTTCTTTTGATAAAACTTTCTCATTAATTAACTTGGCAGTTTCAGCGTAATTCTTGATTAATAATTTAAAAAAAATCACCCATTTTTACGGTTGTTTTGGTTAGGAATTTCGGAAAAAAATGCACCATATTGATTCTGGTGAAAATATAAGCTAATTTTGTTCTCTTCACTTTCCGTCTACTCTTAACGCAATTTGAGAAAAAAGTTCAAAATTACAAATTTGCTTCGTTTTGTCCGGATTATTTAAAACAAAACTGTAGGCCTGTATGCATGGAGGCGAAAGAATTTTAAGTGACCAAAATATTAAGAGTGAAATTGACGAGAGATGTTTCATCTATCAGACAAGTTGTTTAAGCATAAAAGTAAATTTTTTTGTAATTCATTTTTAGTTTGAGGCACGATGCTGTCAAGGTGGTTTATTTTATCTTTCCACGGGAAAAAATTCCTATCGCTTCTAGAGAACAATTTTCATAAGTAAATTTATCTTAATTTTTCTTACTTTATTTATATCACTCGACGCCATCTTACTAAGTCACCAGGAATTTCAGTGAGAATTAGATTGTGAATAGCGAGCAGAATAGGGCATCTAACTTTTGAGTCCGACAAATTAGAGTGCCCAATTAACTATTTTAGTTGCTCGGGTTAATTTTAATAGCCCGCGTTGAAATTTTTGTATATTTATAGTTTAAATGTTCTTACCTTCTACTTCTGGAGCTTCTGCTCCGACGTCTGCTCGGAGATCTAGATGCTGAGCTCTAAACCAACGATAACAATGAAAAGCATTATAATTAGGATTACATTGATTCACAGAGATATTGGCAATTTTGAAAGCGACGTACTCTCGGCATTGCAAACACTTCTATTGAGGTTTCTATTCAATGTCTGAAAAAAGGCTGTATTCATTGTTTGAGATAAATCCACTTGGTGGACAAAATACAGAAAAAAAAAGTTGACGAGCCTCAAAATAACATAGCCAACAGGTTGGAAGTTTATTAATAATAAAAAAGGTCCCCTCCGTCATGCGAGGGTCCGTGCACAGGTTCGATAGAATACACACATTCGATAATCACATCGGCAAAACTTTATGAAAAAATCAAGTCGCTTTTAAAGCATCCAGAGAATCCAAGGTAATCAGAAGGTCAAAAGTATCATAGTAACCGAGGTTACAGTCATGAGTCCCTTCATCATGTATTCCAGTCAAAATCCTTGAAATTTTCTAGATATGGAAGTGATAATGATAAAAGAAGATGACAAGTGTTTAAGTCCTTTTCAATTAAAATCGATACGGGTTACGTTTCTTCAATAAGAACACGCAACTCGACACGAGATAATATAATATACAAGTGTTACAAATAAAAAATTTCGTCGAAAGTTATTTTGTCATTTATTGTTCCGAGTACGCAAGCGGCGTTCGCAATCTGTATTGCCAGGGAGATTCTCTGTTTTAAAAAGCTGCCTGCTCTGCGTTTCTCAGTGCATATGCTTAGGTTCTTACAAAGCTTGCTCAAAAAAACTTCTGTGCTGGGGCCGGCCGCGCCCTGAATTTCAAAAGCTAGCGGTTGAAAAAGATATCCATCATTTACAAGATCTTTATACTTGTCAATTTTTCGCTCTTCCGCTTCAGCGGCAGCCGTACCAGGGTTACAAATAGACCCGGCATTAATCCTACAAGGAGCTAAGGAGTCTACTACCGTTACATCCCACAAGAGCTGCTTACCATCAGCCCATGGAACGAGCGTCAAACCGTCTGGTCGCTTCTGATCGGTCCTGTAGAGGTGTCGTGGTTCTAAAACAGACGGAATGTGAGTAGATGATAGACTCTGTTTCATAAGGGCATTCAGGTTTGAATGCCTAGAGAATCTCCCTGCACTTTTGAGGCAAGAAAAACCATGCTAACCATCCACGGTAACGTCTTTTCCGCACACGCATTTATGCCGTTCGCATATTTTTGATCCTAATCGAAGTCCTATCGCAACTCTGAGTTGTTGGTTCGACAGTTTTAAACTTAAATTTTTGCACGGGATGACGTTCAACCATTGGGAGCCAAATCTATCTTGGAACGCGTTGAATCTTTTTACGTCCGTTTGTTCGAGTCGTAAAATCAAGTCTGCAATTTCGCTGTCGAAAATTGGCTCCGTCCAATTTTTTTGGATTTCATTTTCCGGAGCCATTTCAATTTTTCCAAGGTCAAACCACCGTTTAAGCGCATCATCATAATTCCATCCACATGCTCCAAACCAAAGTTTTCGCTCAAGGCATCTTTTGCTCCTACTGCTGAGGCTAAGAAAGCGGGTAAAGTGAGTAGACGAGCGGAAGAAACGACCAAGCCACCTTTGGCTGCCGGGAGAACTGCTTGTAAAAACTGGTTATCATCCATTTTCACGTTAGTAACCTTGCACAACGAATTTCTTAGTAACTTTATTCTCTGCTCGAGGTCACTCAGAGGCGGGCTTGAAACTTGGGGATGGGGTTTTGGAAGTGACACGTCATTTGCTCGAATTTTTTATTTATCAAAGAGCTCATGTTTGTGGTCTGTTTGCGTCCACTTCTTTTCGGCCTGTATGCATGGAGGCGAAAGAATTTTAAGTGACCAAAATATTAAGAGTGAAATTGACGAGAGATGTTTCATCTATCAGACAAGTTGTTTAAGCATAAAAGTAAATTTTTTTGTAATTCATTTTTAGTTTGAGGCACGATGCTGTCAAGGTGGTTTATTTTATCTTTCCACGGGAAAAAATTCCTATCGCTTCTAGAGAACAATTTTCATAAGTAAATTTATCTTAATTTTTCTTACTTTATTTATATCACTCGACGCCATCTTACTAAGTCACCAGGAATTTCAGTGAGAATTAGATTGTGAATAGCGAGCAGAATAGGGCATCTAACTTTTGAGTCCGACAAATTAGAGTGCCCAATTAACTATTTTAGTTGCTCGGGTTAATTTTAATAGCCCGCGTTGAAATTTTTGTATATTTATAGTTTAAATGTTCTTACCTTCTACTTCTGGAGCTTCTGCTCCGACGTCTGCTCGGAGATCTAGATGCTGAGCTCTAAACCAACGATAACAATGAAAAGCATTATAATTAGGATTACATTGATTCACAGAGATATTGGCAATTTTGAAAGCGACGTACTCTCGGCATTGCAAACACTTCTATTGAGGTTTCTATTCAATGTCTGAAAAAAGGCTGTATTCATTGTTTGAGATAAATCCACTTGGTGGACAAAATACAGAAAAAAAAAGTTGACGAGCCTCAAAATAACATATCCAACAGGTTGGAAGTTTATTAATAATAAAAAAGGAAAAAGGTCCCCTCCGTCATGCGAGGGTCCGTGCACAGGTTCGATAGAATACACACATTCGATAATCACATCGGCAAAACTTTATGAAAAATCAAGTCGCTTTTAAAGCATCCAGAGAATCCAAGGTAATCAGAAGGTCAAAAGTATCATAGTAACCGAGGTTACAGTCATGAGTCCCTTCATCATGTATTCCAGTCAAAATCCTTGAAATTTTCTAGATATGGAAGTGATAATGATAAAAGAAGATGACAAGTGTTTAAGTCCTTTTCAATTAAAATCGATACGGGTTACGTTTTTTCAATAAGAACACGCAACTCGACACCAGATAATATAATATACAAGTCTTACAAATAAAAAATTTCGTCGAAAGTTATTTTGTCATTTATTGTTCCGAGTACGCAAGCGGCGTTCGCAATCTGTATTGCCAGGGAGATTGTCTGTTTTAAAAAGCTGCCTGCTCTGGGTTCCTCAGTGCATATGCTTAGGTTCTTACAAAGCTTGCTCAAAAAAACTTCTGTGCTGGGGCCGGCCGCGCCCTGAATTTCAAAAGCTAGCGGTTGAAAAAGATATCCATCATTTACAAGATCTTTATACTTGTCAATTTTTCGCTCTTCCGCTTCAGCGGCAGCCGTACCAGGGTTACAAATAGACCCGGCATTAATCCTACAAGGAGCTAAGGAGTCTACTACCGTTACATCCCACAAGAGCTGCTTACCATCAGCCCATTTATTTTGTCCGGCAGACTTTCCGCCAAGGGAACACGCGAGTCTTTTGGTACTCTCTTGAGTACTCGGACATTTGAGATGGCTGTATTAACATAATTGTCTAGCACTAAATCATTACCTATTGTTGCTTTATTAACAGATTTTACATCAACGCATAAAGGACACTGAAACCATTGGGTTTTCTTAGAGTCGCTAAGAGAAATATTTACGCAACTGATATGATACCAACTAGAACAACAATCACATCTAATCCAATTTATCAG